GGGCAATGGTAAAAATGAGTGGGAACCATCCTAAGCTGCCTTCACTTGGAGTTCAAAAAGTGTGATTCCCACCAATGTTTGAAATCAGTCAGGGCGCTACTAATGTCATCAATACCGGAACTGTACACAAAGCAAAAGCTGAATTTAATCAGAAACTGTTTCCTGCAATTCCTCTGATCACCGGTGTTGTGTGCTGCCCACTGGGCCCGTCTTTCTTCCTACATCAACAACGGTGGAAAGAAGCCTTTATGGCAGAGGTGACTTGCTTGTCCATTCTGCCAAAGAAAGCCCGCTCATAACTAGTGTTCTACATTTTCAATCTTGCGTCTACTTCCGTAGTATGGGAATGCTGCACCATTTAGTCAATAAATAGATTGACTGGAAGCTATATTGGAGTGAGAGTGACTTACCATTTGTTCACTTTAAGGGCCGATCACGCCAGACGCTGTGCTGATCGCCCCCTCCCCTCTCTGGTAATGATTTTTGTTAGAACTTTATTGAAATGTCACGAATTACATTTTATTCAGTTCTACAATTACAGTGGGGTACGAGGCGGATGTACCACATCGCCAACCGCTATGTTGGTAAAAAAAAAAAAAAAAAAAGAAGGCATACCATACTTTAACATACCACCGCGTTCCTACAGCAACATGGTGGTGTGAAAGCACATCATCCACGACAAGACAAATCGCCTTGTGTTGGAAACGATGGACAGTGCAGCTTCAACGAACATGGTGTGAATGGGCCCCAAGTCAGTTAACCCCCCAACCTCAAGAGTTGCATGCATTTTCCAGTTGAACCTGAAGCATTAGAATAAAAACACATTCTAGAATGACTTACTATTTTCTATAGTTGGGTCATAGGAATCCACAAATTGTCCTTCAACAAACTGTATGGTCAATGAAGATTTACCTGAAAGAAAAAAAAAAATAAGACTAACTGTAGAAAGCAATAATGACAATCACAAGCTCTGGTTTCCCATTTGTAGCTATGCAAAAGTAATAAAAATGACGCACGCAAATCTTCTCTGCTGGCTATTGTATTTATTATAGTCCGACAGCCTCTGCTATCAGAATCCGTAGCCAGCCGATTGGCTGCAATCCCTGTTCAGTGAACAATTTTCAGCCCAGCATCCTGATCAACTTTTATCCTCCAAGTCAACAAATTCAAACAGTGGATGGCCCATCAACTGTTTGAATTTGTTGACTTAAGAGAGGAATCTGCCAAAATTTTAACATGGCCAGCTGTGCTAAAGAGATATTATTAGCATATAATAGACACAGTATATTAACAGGAGGGGAGATCCAAACATGCACACAAACTACAGGTCAGGAATATGGCAGTGCTCCCTGTCATCTTTCATCCTCTCATTCCTAAACTGTGCATATGCAGAATTTGACACTGACCGAAAGGTTAAAGGAGGCTGTGCAATGTTAATGCCACTGGAGCACAGACACATAATGAAGGAAGGATAGGTCAAGACACTTCATAACTTTGTTAACACAAACCTGTCCTACCTTTTACACTGCACACACACACACCTGGACCCCCTTAACCCAGGGCACAGAGTATGGTAAATATCAATTTCACATCCAAAGGTCATCTGTAGCACCTCTCACCAACCCCGGACTATATACCGTCATACTACAGGCAATTTCAGGTGCAGTAGCATTCTTTGTGAAGCAATATTCAATAGTCAGAAATCATTTGATACATGTTACCAGTCCAAAGAAGCCAACAAGCATGTGTGCCATCAATAAATAGTGCTCAATTGCTGCCATGACTGTCTGCTCCTTATCCCACCAAGTACACTAAAACTATTTTACTGCCATGTGTGCCCCCATTTGAGAGTGTCAGGGCAATGTCCATTCAATTCTACGAGGTTGGCAGGAATCAAATATCTGGCAGGGGTTCAAACCGCTCAACTACACCCAAAAGATTTGGACTCCAAGTGTGTTCCATAGTCCAGTCTGACAAGTATAAAGCAATGCTAGACTCATTTAAGCACGGCCCCTTTTGAAGAAGTGGTCAGACCCTTCAGTGCCAGGTACAGCTATCCTGGACATGTAATTGAAGGAACCAGGAAGAAGGCTGGAGCTTTTCCTGTAAACAGATTAAACTTATATGGAATTGGTTACTATAGGCAACTGCGTCAGTTTCTCAGCTTCACCTTTTGTAAAGCCCAATTTGCAATCGCTCCTCTATTAGACTCATACAGTCAGCTGTGGGCAGGAGGTGTTGTACAATACATGACGGCATCTCACACGTTGCAATAGCCTGCAAATGACTATCAGCATCCAGGTGCAATCACTCACAGGTAACGGCAGCATGGGAAATCAGCCCCTTTGTATTCCCTGGGGCACAAGATCAAACAAGTTCATTGAGAAACCACAAATTTTCCAAACTGAAAATCAGGGCATCAACTTCCCTGGCAGAGCTGGTAAACCCAATTGTCAGATCTGCACAGCATTTAAAGGGAATCTAACCTTTCCTGTGACATGAAGACCAATGTAACTCCAAATCCGATGCCTGTAGCATATCCAGTAAAAGCCTAAACCAAGGCTGGAAGGAAGACTTTAGACCAGTGGTTCTCAACTCGTGGGTCGCGACACCCTCTGCAGTGGGTCGCGGCGTCATAGGCCGGCCCATCTGCATTAGAGAGAACTAGAGGGGGAATTTGTGGTTCAGCCTGTGGAACCTCATGTCAAACTGTCCCCTCTCTCCCGACCTCCCCCGGGCTCTCCGATAAAGTGGTATGGCCCGGGGAGAGAGGGGACTATTTCCTCACTTTCGGGCCGGCGCATTGATATCAGGGGCCGCGGCGCCCGACAATTAAGTTATAGTTCCGGTCTGCACTGGAGAGTACAGCAGATATCAATCCGCCGCTGTATCTACTGTACTCTCCAGTCCAGATAGTTCAGTCGGCTGGAATCAGAGAAAGGTAGGCAGGCAGACAGGGAGATGTGCACTGTGGCAGGACAGGGGACACTCATGGATATTATGTATTCCAAGCCCACATAATATCCATCATGTATATCCATCACTGTCCCCTGTCATAATGTATGTTAATGAAATACACAATGTTATTACACAGACTGGGCTCAGAATACATAATGTCCATCAGTGTCCCCTGTCATATTGTCCTCAGTCAGTGCAGAAGCTGGGGAGGGGGGGCATTAGCAGGGGGCTCCGCTGCAATTTTTTTACCCGCAGCAGAGCCTATGCTAATGCACCCCTCCCCCAGCTTCTGCACTGACAGGGAACTTTATGACAGGGGACACCGATGGTCATTATGTATTCCAAGCCCACATAATATCCAATAGTGTCCCCTGTCGTAATGTCTCCTGTCAATGCAGA